ACAGAAATGATAAAAACTTCAGAAAACCTGACCTATGAGGAGAGGTTAAAAATCTGGGTATGTTTAGTCCTGAGAAAAGAGGACTGAGGGGGGACTAGATAAGTCTTCAAATATGTTAAGGACTGTTAAAAAGAGGACAGCAATCAGTTGTTCTCCATGCCACTGTTAAGAAGCAATCAGCTTAATCTGCAGCAAAGGCGGTTTAGATTAGATATTAGGAAAAGCTTTCTAGCTATAAGAAGAGTTAAGCACTAGAATAGGCTTCCAAAGGAGGTTGTGGAATGCCCATCACTGAAGATTTTCAAGAACAGGTTAGACAAACGCCTGTCAGGGATGGTCTAGGTATTCTTAGTTCTACCTCAGAGCAGGGTGTTGAAACAAATGACCTCTCGAGGTCCCTTCTAGCCTTACATTATAATAATTCAGGTTGTTTGACCACAGATACTTTGTTTCTGGGTGTTTTTAAAGGGCTACATTCAGAGTAGCAAGCAGTGCCTTCCTTACAACTTTTAGCCCAGTGTGGAAGACCCAGGTTCAATTCTCCCCTCTGCCTAATATCTTGAATAAGCATTAGGTCAGAGAGGAAAAACTCCATAATCTGGTAGTAGGAGCACTCACCTGCGATGCCAGAGTCCAAAGTTCAAGTCCCTGTTCCTTTGAATATTTAGTTATTTATACAAAATAGAACAGCTTCAACAAGAGAGACAGAGACAGTCTGCCCAGCACTCAGCTGGCAGGAGGTGGAGAGGAGACCCAAGTTTAAGTCCCTCCCCCAATGAATAGTAAGACTGCATTTTCTAGCAAAAAGCCACCCACACATAAATAAAGCTATTTATGTGAAAAATTTCACCTAGCTCTAGATCCAATCAGGATTGGGCCTAGCCATATTGTGCTAGGTGCTGTAGGAACAGAGGAATATAATCCCTACCTCAAACATCTTAAAATCAATGCAATTACAAAATGGAAGAGGCCTGCCTGTGGGGGCATGTAACTCACCCCCCTGCCAGTTCAGGATTGTTCCCCATGGTATGTTTGTCTAATGCTTCGTTTCATGGCATTCCATCAGCATTAGAAAAACATTACAAACCTGTGCTTGTTTTTCTTTAATACGCCTCCACTTGTAAAATGAAAGGACAAACTAGTTATTTTACTTATGATACTTAGTGTTACTCTTCATCTGTAAATCTCCAAGTACTTAAAACATTTATTTTGCATTTTTCAGATGAGGAAACTTAGAATCAGAGAGGTCCAGAATGAATTCATAGCAGTTCATAGAATCTGGTACCCTATCTACTGAAATATGTCACCTGCTTACTACAATAGGACACCCTAAGTAGTATTTTCGGCTCCTAAGGATAGCTTTGTAACAACAGTGAGGAGCAAAATTCTGCCCTCGGTTACACAGGTGCAACTCCATTTGCTTCAGTGGGAATACACACACATAAACTGAATGCAGAATCTATTCCTAGCTGTCATGTGCAATTAAGTTAAATGGCACAGGCAAAATCACTTTAAAATGTTATAATCTTGAAAACCTGAACAGGAATGTATTCAGAGCAAGAGTATTAAAAATGCTTTGACTCTCAGATAATCAAGACACCTGTAAATCAAATGAATTAGCATAATCTCTCTCATCACCTAGTAAAATGCTGACTCAAAAAGTGAGAAGAATGACTTGTAGAGTCTAACTCCTTTAAAAGGCTTTTTATGCTTGACACTAGCAGTCATATTGGGTGTTTTAAATACATTAATTAGAGGCTTTCTGATTTTAACATGCAAAGTACAAAGGTAACTCCCTGGAGATCCCACTCCTGCAAAGGAGAGAATAACTAATGCAGATACAATCTGCAATCTGACACTAAGTGAGGAGCCAACACACATACACACACACGACACAATCAATGGTCAGCACTAACAGAGCTCCACTACAGAAAAAAGATGCACAACACCAACTTGGAATCACACTTATACAGCTACCTTTGAGAACTGCAGTGTACATATATCCAGAAAATCTAAATACGGTGGTCTGGGGGAGGTGGAAGAAGCTCGTTTTTCTGTGCACAAATTAATCGCTTCATTGAACTCACTGGACTATGTATTTACAGAACAATACTCTGTTTCTAGTGCCAAGACCGAATAAACAACAAATTCCTTAGTTTCATTAATTAAAAAAGTTTCATGTGTATTTATGATATTAATATCCTCTGGGGAAAATTTCAGGAGGAGCAAAGAAGGTCTACATCAAAAGTCTCATTAAATGCGCTATGCTTCTCCTGTACTCCCTTAGTGATGGTGCATTGTCCCTCTAAAGTTATCTCATTAACTTGTAATACAGTAAACGTCAAGCAGCAAGATAATCTACTAAAGATATGAAAGAGCTAAAAATATGGATTTCATTAATAAATCATCTATGTCTTTAAAGGGAGGGAAGAATGCTTTATATTGAGATGGAAGGACTATGAATATCCCATATATTATTTCAGCACAAATTTGCTTTTGGGCTTCCGAGTTCTACAGGTAAGTAGTGATGTGTACTCCATCCTTAATAGTATTCTCTTCCAAAACAGATATTCTCTAATTTATGAGATAAAAATGATTGTTTGACTTTAAAACTCCAATTTCATTTATGTAATCCACCCAGCTGCATAGGTACTGAGTTGCAAACTCACAATGTTAGGCCTTACAGAGTTTAATATACTGTAGTGCTCCACTCTAGCTCTAAGCCACCAATAGATAACCCTTAGAGTCACACGAATATTTGTATTACTTTTATTTTTTAATGTAGGGTTTTTTTTCCAGAACCACCAATGACACTCAGTACAGTATTTGTTTGAGTTCTGTCCTGAGCTAAGAACTGCAACTCCTCAACTCTTGTTCTCTGCAACCTTTAAATCTGAAACTCTGAAAATAAAGATAGGAAATGTAACAGCAAAATACGTCTGTCTACAAAAACTGGGAAACCAAAGCAAGTGAATTCATGGTTTTAGAATGCCCTAGGAGACTAACTACAGTATATTCCTATACATAAAAAAGTCTGTCAGTTGCACTGCATAGACACTGGTTGTATTCTCAGCAGATACTACATCAGAACACTCAAGGAAATCTTATGCAATATTTTCCAAGAAAATTGTGAAATCCACGAAAACTGTATCTGGCTAAGTCACTTTTTAATCTGGAAGCCTAAATCAGCTACTTCCAAAGGGAAAAGAAAATGGTCTATAGCTAAATAGTTTGTGGTTTAAAACTATTGCAGATTAAAGTCTAGATTTACAAAACACAAGAAGATTCAGCCTATTCTTATCAAATCTGAAGTACTAAGAAAATGATTTTTTTAATTACTACAAACTATCGTGACAAAGTAAAGTATCAAAAAACTAAATTTGAATTTTTGCAGTTTTAAATTGAAGATTAATGAATTTGAGTCAAATAGAAGGATTCAGCTATATTAAGTACAGTGCACTACTACTGGTAAACAAATTTTGCACCAGCCAACTGAACTGGAAAAAAATATCGTTACCATATGGAATGCAAGCTTTATTAAGGGATGCAATAACTGAATTACCATAAGCATGTAGTCTCTTAATGGCGTAAAACTAGAACTCGTAGTTGTCCTTGCAGGATGGTTCTTTTCATGTTAATCATTAGGAAACAGAAAAGCTAAAATCATACTATATACACTTATAATACTGTGCAATCTTTAATGCCCCTTTACAACTGAGCAATATACTGGCAAGGAACGTTTGAATAGCAGGTTCTATAACAGACATTAAAAACCATCATGTAGAATTTTTATCCAGCACTAGGGATTTCCAAACTTCCATAGACAAACTTACTATTCAAAAAGCATGTATGTATTATTTGCATCCATCTAATGTTTAGTGAAAAGTCTTAGAAATTCTTCTGTAATAAGGTATTTGCTGTCAATAGTTGTCTCAAAACATAAATTAACTGAGCAGGGATTCTGAATTTATAACCCAAGGGCTAATCTGTGTTCTTAAACTAGGTTTGGTTAAAATCTAAATATTTAAAGTAGGACATGATTTCCACCACAGATCAGGACTTAAGAGTTTCCTAATAGAATTACATACCACACCCATAGAATTAAATTACAGAGGCACTGGTCATTGGTTATTAAACAAAGACACCCAATGTTAATATTTAAAGATACACATCTAAAGATGTATTTTGAGACCATACACTCAGACATACCGACTTGCACAGTGAATGAGAATACAGCAATTGTCTGAATAATGTGTGTTCAAACATCTGAGGAGGGCAGTTATGAAGAATTGCTGAGATCTGTACACTGCTGAGTTGCAATTTACATTTAAAAAACAGAATGAGCTTCTGCGAGTATCTCCTTCTGTAATTGCTTCGGTTTAGGGAGGTAACTGGGCTATAGCTGATCTCTGATGAGCCATTACATCTTTCAGAGGCTTAGCAAGGTGAGAGAAACAAGCCTTATGAAGAAAGTAGCAAACTTATTCCAAAGGGGGGAAAAATAAAAAAAAAACTTCCCAAACTTAACAGAGTAGAAGAGTACACCACGTAGCAAAGGGAGACCACTTGAGAATTGCTACTATATCTAGAAATAGGGATATTGGGGAAGAATAATAGGGACACGCCTTTTAATTCCACTGAAATACTGGGATGGCTCTGGAAAGGGACAAGTGAGAAATAGAAGCAGAGAGACTGGCCCTCCTGAATAGGAAGAGTTGGCATGAATGACTGAGCACTAGTTTCAAAGTGGGACCGCCTCTCCCGGACCTACTCTTACTGCTTGGACTTGGAGATTTTTTTAAAAAAAAGGAAGAAGAAGAAGCCGGAGCGTGTTACAAAATGTCCATCTTTCTAATGCTCAGAGTGAAAATAAAACCTCCTCTTCTAAGGTAGCTAAACCAACACGCCTATTAGAAATGCCTGCAGTCGCTTGGCAATGGCTTTGCACAACGCTCTCACTCACTTGCACAGAGAAGTAAAGAAGAGGCTCGGTTTCCTACCTAAGCACAGCCGTGTCCCCTTTTCTGACCACCAGGTTGTCCACAGCTGCCCCAGGGAAGTCCATACTCTGCCCAGCTGGGAGGCAGGAGGGCAACAAGCAGCACAGGCTGAGGAGCACAGCAGCCAGCCACTGGTTTGAGCAACAAGCACCTTGCACCAACAGCATCATGTCCATCCCTGCTCGGGGCTGCTCTCTCTCAGCTTCCAGCTCCTCTCAGTCCCCAGCCCCTGGTACTCGTGACGGGTCTTCCCTCCAGCCAGGCAGCCAAGGCACTGGCAGAGTTCTGCCTCGCCTGGTTTCTTTTGGCCGAGTCCGGAACGCGTCTAGTCTCGGGTGGCTCACACACCATCTAGCGAGGAGGGAAGCGCGCAGGAGACTGAGAGCAAGGGAAGTAGCAGCAGCGGCAGCAGCAGCGGCAGGCTCAGCAGCAGCAGACGGCCCCCAGGCTCCGAGCCGGTTGCCATGCAGCCGTTTCCTTAGCAACTTGGCCTGATGACTGGTGGTGGAGCAGAGGAGAAAAAAAGCTGGGGGGGGGGGGGGTTAGGCTAAAAGCAAAGCAGCAGTGGGAGGAGGTGTGTTACAGCCACCGACATGGCAATACGGAAATAAATGGCATGCAATTAAAGGCACTGATTGCAGAGTGACCCCCGTTTGCAGGAGGGAGACAGCTGAGTTTGCTCGTCAGCGGTTTTTTACAATACAACTAGTTGGAGCTGAAATGCCCCGCACGGCGGCTCGTAGCCACGCCCGACTCCGCTGGCCAGGACGGTTCCGACCCAGCGATGCTCACGCGTCGCCGGGACCGGGCTAGCAGCCGGTCCGAGCGAGCGGAAGGGGAAGGGGGAGGGGGAGCAGCAGGCTTCAGAACTGGGCTTCTCCCGCGAAGGCTTCACGCTGCCCCGGCGCCCCTGGGCCAACGGAGTCAGGAGAAACACCCACCCCCTCGCGAGCCCAGCTTGTGGGCGGGAAAGGGGTGAAGTGGAAGGGGGGCTGGGGAACCCACACCTTAGCCTTCATCTACCTAGGCAGAGGAGAAGAGTGAGGAGGCTCCTGTAAATGCCTAGCTAAATTAGATCAGGGGCTTGCATTGCCCTAGGCTGGAGAGAAGGCAAACCCGCATCTCCTCTGAGCTAGGGGGGGGGGGGGAAATCAACGCCCAGAGAAACACATCGCATCCCCGAGGGACCAGCGACTCCTATCTCCCACAGGGACACATAGAGAAGAAAAGAAAATCCTTAAAAATGGGGCACGTTGTCCCCTTAGTGGAATAGCCCATCCTCCGAGTATGGGAGAAATCCTCCAGTGAGGGTTCCCATTCTTAGGGAAGGAGCAGCTATGTACTATTGGCATCATAAATAATTCTGTGGCCCAACCAGACTGCATCATAGACCTCTCAACCCCTCAGAAAAGTGTCCATTAAATTGTGAAACCTAGCAACTCTTTATTCCAAAAGGCAAGGCAGTAAAGTGGTACACAGGTCTAGGAATGTGAAATGCAGTTTATTTCATTGTCTCCAGGGAGAAACTTACCGGCCACTAACTCTTCTTTAAATCAAGGTGCACATATATTTAGCCCAAAGTATATACTTGATTTTCAGTGGGAAGTATTAGATTCAAGTCAAACTTTGATATCGCATTATATTTTCAGAAATCTATGCAGAATTGTATAATTTCAGCCCCAAAACTACAGGGCTAATCCACATCTAGCATAAGCACACTTCCTGCTGTCATTATCCTTGATAAATGGTTGTGGCACAGATACATCCAATGGAATCTTTCAAGGTGATAGTACAATGCATCAAGGTAGTTCTCCCTAGTCTCACCACAAATGTCAATACAAACCTTCAAGACTTTTCCTTGTAGTTCTTCCTGAAATTCTGTTAGGATGCACATTCAAGAAAGAAGACTCCTTGTCCATCTGTACACTAAAATCCATTTCTATATCCTGTCTCCCAAGAACTTTCTATAGCATCTCTGAGCATGAGCAATTCCTGATAGGATCTCACAACCTCATATCATCACTGATCCAGCTTCCCTTAAGATTTCATAGGAGCTTTGTCATTTTGCCAAAAGCTTGCAAGCAAAATTTTGCTTTAATTTAAATTCTAACACTGCCTTAACATTTACATATTGGGCCTTCTGCTTTCCCTGAAAGGCTTTGAGATGTCCCAAGCAGTAAATCTCTCATGTCTGCCAACTGGCCTAATCTAGGCTGCATAATTAGCCATGCCCTTCAATGTTTTGGCTTTAGTTTCCCTGTTTTTTACCAGGATAACTAGGGGGTCTTCACTTATGGTGAGAAAGGAGCTTAAACAGTGGAAAAACAAAACCATTTACTCCTATAGGCAAATGAAAATAGCAGCCACTAATACCAGTTTGGCCCTGTGGTATTAATAAACTTTTATAAAATCCACCTCAATACACGCTGAACTCTTTAAGATCATCAGGTTGTGGATGACAGGTCAGTTTTGTCCTGCGGACATGTATTTTCCAGTGTAGTAGTTGCATAACCGACGATATAAAATTGGATCTCTGATCAGTTATAATCTCACCAGAAAAGTGATCCAGCATATTTTTGGCTATTTGAGAGGAATGGTACCTCAGTTACCGTTAACAGCATAAGAGATGTACGGTGCCTTTTCATACCATAGGTTGTTACCTCCTGGCATTCAGGACAGATTTTGAAACATTTACGTTGCAAAACGTAATAGAAGCTTGTATAGTAGGCAAGCTCTGTCTCTCCCTTAGGACTAACCCAGGCTAAACACTCCTGCTTATGCCTCAAAAACTTTTCCCTTGAGTGTCCAAGCAGCATAGAGCTAGTTTCTCCTTGTTAGGAATTTTTATTCCCTTTCCCTTCATTCTGCTTCCAGTTGTAAACTTATCTGATGGGACAACAAGGAATCCGGTGGCACCTTAAAGACAAATCTGTTAGTCTTTAAGGTACCACCAGACTCCTTGTTGTTTTTGTGGATACAGACCAACACGGCTACCCCTTGATACTTGTTATCTGATGGAAGGAATTCACTTGTGTGTCTCCTCTTCATGTGAATGTGGAGAGAGGGAAAGAGAAGAGCAATCAACAAAGTCTTTTGGCCTCTGATGATCCACAATAATTTGTTTAGTATTGATGGGCCTTCTCTGTTAAGCAGGAGGACCTAACAACTTCTATTGGAAGCCAGCATTTCACATTAATTTATGTCTTTCCTGTCTGGTGATTTATACAGTTAGGATAGCTTACAATGCAAACGCTCAAATATCTTACAATACAGGGCACAGATGTTATAAGTGAAATTAATACCTGGAACAATTTACAAACATCCAAACACTAAGCACATTTTGTATAACTAATACCTATTTTAACAATACTAACAGGTGAGCCAGACTAATTCCAACTATGTATTTCTCAGCGTTCAAATGAGATATGGAGGCCTTGGCATGAGCTGGCACCTGGTTTGCCATAGCTAAACAGTCCATAAACCTGCGACTTCCAACTCCCCTTCTCTTGACAGTCTTAATTTCCTTTTCCTTTATGCTTCACCCTCTTCTATTGCATCCCACTTTTGTAGGTCTTTTCCAGTTACCACAAAAGATCCTGGTCTAATTCAATGAAGGGCATCCTTCCTCCTTTCTTGTCACACAAGCTTCATACCAAGTCATACAGGAGGCTTGGCACCAGGCTATAAATGCTGCATAATATATAATGCTCACCTTTGTATATTAAGTATCACCTTATAGTAGGGGAAATTCTCCAGTCCCCATATACACAATTTTTTAAAATCATCTTAGATGGTTTAGATCCTTTATGGAGGTCCACCAACTATACACAAGAGAATGTGGGAACATTCTGTACTTGCCCCTAACCCCACCCCCATCTAACTCCCTCCCCCGCTCCCTGTCCCCTGACTCCTATCCACACCCCCACCCTCTGACAGGTCCTCTGGGACTCCCACACCTATCCAACCGCCCCCTGCTCCCTGTCCCCCAGGACCCCATGCCCCTTATCCAACCCCCCCGCCCCTGCTCCCTGCCCCCTTATGCTGCTCAAAGCACCAGAACTGGCAGCTGCCACACAGTCTAGCACATCGGGGCAGGCCGGTGGCTCTTACAGCCGCACTGCCCGACAGGAGCTCGCAGCCCCGACACCCAGAGCGCTGGCGGCATGGCGAGCTGAGGCTGTGGGGGAGGGGGACAGCAAGGGAGGGGCCGGGGGCTAGCCTCGCCGGCTGGGAGGTCACGCATTGGGCAGGAGGGGCCTACGGGCTGCAGTTTGCACACCTCTGCCCTACACTCAAACCTGGTGAAGATTTGTTCACTATTCTCCCTTTCCACTTACTGAAATAACTAACTTTCTTCCTACCATCCCCTCAGTGGGCTCCCTTTGCCTTTCAAGCTGTTCTCCTATCTGGAGGCTTGTCTGGAGCCTGATGCTGCTGTATCCCTGGGCCTGGAGGGGAGGAGGGTGTCTAGTATACCGTAGTTCTTTTCCTCAGGACTCTAGCCAAACCCAGGAATATTTTCAGCTCCCTTTCTGCTACCAATTCAAGAAATGCTGGAAGATGATACTTAGAATAGGAGTGGACACATGTTCTGTCCCCCATTCCATTCCAGACCCAGGAGTGGGGTGAATTTGGGCATCCACTTTCTCCTTTCCTCCTCTAGAAATAGGAGTTCTTCCAGACAGAATCCAACTCCTCCCTAATCTCTTATACCCTCAGTCATTTATATTGACTTGTATCCAAGTTCTCCTCCCCCCCACCCCCCGAGACATCCCACGCTGACAATCACTTGTGTCATGGCCCCAGTGGAGCATGAGTATGCCGCCGTCCACTTGAGAAGTGCAGGACAAAATGTACTCAGAACAGAAGGATTCATTAAAGCCCATATGTTTACCACACAAAACAAGACTCAAAACTGACAAGCAAACACATCAGTCCTCAAAATATCAGATTCCATTGAGTATCTGCATCTTAGCAATTGCTTGACATCAAAGAGCTATCATGGAAGGTGATCCTTTCTGTCTCTACCCACTCTTCCCACGAGTTCTCCTCCCCCGCCCCCAGATCACATTCAAACAACTGCCTTCCTCATGTGTCTTTCATAGATTCATAGATTCTAGGACTGGAAGGGACCTTGAGAGGTCATCAAGTCCAGTCCCCTGCCCTCATAGCAGGACTAAATACTGTCTAGACCATCCCTGATAGACATTTATCTAACCTACTCTTAAATATCTCCAGAGATGGAGATTCCACAACCTCCCTAGGCAGTTTATTCCAATGCTTAACCACCCTGACAGGTAGGAACATTTTCCTAATGTCCAACCTAAACCTCCCTTGCTGCAGTTTAAGCCCATTGCTTCTTGTTCTATCCTTAGAGGCTAAGGTGAACAAGTTTTCTCCCTCCTCATGACACCCTTTTAGATACCTGAAAACTGCTATCATGTCCCCTCTCAGTCTTCTCTTTTCCAAACTAAACAAACCCAATTCTTTCAGG